CGACCTCAAGCCAAGAGTTCTCGAAGCCAGGTCGCCCTCAACTCATGTCGGCCGTGCTGGTGTTCTTGCTCATTCGTGTTCGTGCAATCTATCCTCGTCCTCAATGAACGTGATGAACGGACTCGCGGTTACGACACTCAGGTGAGTTTTTTTTTTTCGTTTTTGTTTTTGTTTTTGTTTTCTCTCTCTTCTCTTTCTTTCGCTTTCTCTCTCTCTCTCGCTTTCTCAGCTTCTCAGCTCTCGCTCTCTCTCGCTCTCGCTCTCTCTCTCTCTCTCTCTCTCTCTCTCTCTCTCTCTCTCTCTCTCTCTCTCTCTCTCTCTCTCTCTCTCTCTATCTATCTATCTTCTTCCTCTCTCTCTCTCTCTCTCTCTCTCTCTCTCTCCTCTCTCTCTCTCTATCTCTCTCTCTCTCTCTCTCTCTCTCTCTCTTCTCTCTCTCTCTCTTTCGGGTGTTTTGGTATCGTCGTTGTGTTGTTATATTATTTTATTATTAGCTTTACTATTAATTATCATTATTATCATTATTATAAATAATATATCATTATCATTATTATTATCATGGTTAGTACTATTATCATTAGCATTGTCGCTGTTGTTATTATTGTTTTTATCATCATTAAATTATCATATATTGTTATCATTATATAAATAATAACTGCTATTATCATTATCATCATCAATAGTATCATTGCCATTATCAATATCATCATTGATCTCATTACTATCATCATTACCATTAATATCATCATTTCTGTATTCATTACCTAGATGTTTTTAAAACGCCCAAACTAATTAGATTGTATATTTTCAAAGCATATATTATCCGAAAATTCGCTTACACTAATAAACTTAAAACTTATTAACCTTAAACAAAGTACCTCGCACCTTCTTTATTTAATTCATGCAAACTTAAACCTTAAACTATTAAACTAACTTTATTCAATAGGTCATTCTTGATAAACATCCTGCTAGTGCTCCGATTGCCCTCATTCCAGGTAGCTTTAACTTAACTAATGAAAGATATTTAGTTAAAAAAAACAATCAACTAAAACCCCCAAACCCTGAAGCCCTAAACCTTAACTCAATTAACCCCCCAAAAACCCTAACCTCAACCCCCCCCTTCCCAAAAATGGATAAGGCCATTTTCCTTTGTCCCTTTCCCAACCCCCCCCCCCTCAAAATATATATAAATAAAGAAAGAAGAAAAAGAAAACATTTCCCACGTCCCTTTTCCAGCAAGTGGTGAGCGACGCGGCCCTCTACTCGCTCCTGGCCCGCCTCGAGCTCGTCTACCTGATCGAGTCCATGTTCCTGTGGTGCCCCGGCCTGCAGCGCCTCTCGTCCCGTCTGCGCCTCCTCACGGGCCCTCACAACACGCCCTTCCTCTACGCCAAGATCAACAAGAGGCGGAAGGGCGAGAGGCTCGAGTCGGGCCGGAGTCGGAGGACCTGAGTCGGCTGGATGGGACGACGTCGGATAATCTGAGGTGCGGTTGGGAGGGTCGTGGGAGGTCCTCGGTTGGATGGGGGAGGGATGTTTTTTTTGCGTCTATATAAGCATACATGCACACATTATTTCATTTGTGTGTTTGTGTATGAGTTGTTTGTTTGTGTGGTTTGTGTGTGTGTGTGTTTTTGTGTGTGTGTGTGAGTGTGTGTGTGTTTGTTTGTGTGTTTGTGTGTGTGTGTGTGTTTGTGTGTTGTGTTTGTGTGTGTGTGCTTGTTGTGTTTGTGTGTGTTTATTGTGTTTGTGTTGCGTGTGTGTTTTTAATTTGTGTTTGTATGTGTTTATTTGTGTTTGTGTGAGTTTGTGTGTGTGTGTGTGTGTTTGCTTTTGTGAGTTTGTGTGTGTGTGTTTATTTGTGTTCTGTGTGTTTGTGTGTGTGTGTGTGAGACGTGTACTTGCCTTGTCATACTTGTAAACATGCATGTACAAATATATATTTTCGTGATTCCTCAACCACCCGAATCTCACTCCCGCTTCGACCCCTTGCAGGATGCGTCGCCAGCAGTACCTGGAGGAGGAGAAGCTTCGTCGCCGAGGAGACCCAGCCGCTGAGTGCCTCTCCATCCTTCGGAAGATAGCCAAGCGCCACCCGGAGGTCCTGCAGGATGTCATCGGTAGTCCTGAAGCGAAGGAGCAGGAGTAGGTCTTCAGCGCCTTCGTCAGGTCTTCGTCAGGAGAGAGCTGGAGAAGACATTTTAAGTTTCGTAGGGCCTATGGTGACGCTTGTGGTGACACGTCAGCATCGGAAGGGAAAATATATATAGGTGTGAATATATATACGTGTATTTCTCTTGTCTTTGTCCGGCCAGAGGAATTAGGAAAAAAAA